ACACGCGTACACACACGCATACACGCACACGCACACGCATACACACACACACGCATACACACGCACACACACGCACACACACATACACGCATACACACGCACACACACCACACACGCACACACGCATACACACACGCACACGCACACACACATACACACGCACACACACGCATACACGCGCGCACACACACGCATACACACACACACAGCCTTGAACAGGCTCTGGTGCCATCAGCAACTGTCTCAGGCCACACCCTGGTGACCGAAGCGCTCAGCCTCTCCTCTCTTCTGGATCTGTGAGAACCACAAGACATCAACCCCTTCAGGCGTCCCTGGAGAGCTGTTGGGGGGCACGCGGATGCACACGTGCCAAGTTGGTCTTGGGACATCTGTGGCTTTATGGTGGCTTCCTTCCACCCCAGGCTCAGCTGCTGGCCTTTCTCACACTGTCTGGTTATCCGACTGGAACAGAAATGCGTATCAGGCGATCAGTCTCCCAGACAGCAGGGAGGGTGGGAAGAGACCTATAAAACCTGCCACTGAATAGTCACAACCGGCCTCTCCTCCCTTCCACCTTGTAAACCTCCAGAGCCCAAGCAGCGAGGCCAAGGTCACTGTCAGCGGGTGCTGGGAACGACCCTGGGAGGTCCAGGCAGCCCTTTCAACCTCCAGGCCCCCCAAACCTCTCAGGTGGCCGCCATCTCCATGCCCCTACAGGGGGTGCCTGCCATGGCTGGGCCCTGCACAGAGTGAGCCTACTGTGGCTCAGCCCAAGGCACCAATGAACCAAAGAACCGCCACACTTTAATGTCAACCCCTGACGAAGTGCCAGGCAGCACCCCTCTTCTTCTGGGGAATGGGGTGTGGGAGCCCCTGCGCACCCCGAGTTCTGCTTGGAAGGAGCCTTCCAGGACAGACTGTGGTCCCCCGCCGGGTGGGACTGCCTTGCCAAGGAGCCCCCCTTCCCTGCCAGCACCTCTCCTCACCCCCACCCATGACCACCAAGTCCTCCGCTGGCCCATCTATAGAACAAGGAGGTGCTTGGCCGACAACTTCAAACCCTAAACAAACTGTCCCTTGAAAGCAGCCCTTGGCCTTGCTTTCAGCTGCTCTGGGTCCCAGTTCCCTTGCTGAGGTCACTGCACCACAGGTCCCTCCCCTCGCCCTCCCCCAGGCCTGGCCGCCGGCTGCTGCAGGCTGAACGGAAGGTGGAGGGAAGCCGCAGCCTCCCGGACCCTCCATCATCGAGGGCAGGTTTTCCGTCAGGCCTGCCTTGGGTGTGGCTGGCCTCCCTCCATGCTGCAGGGAAGGTCACCTTGCCTAGGATGGAGGCTATTATTTCAATGTTTTGGTGTAAAATTCCAATAAAAATAAATGCTTTAAAATCCTTTAATCCTCAAAAGGAAGCTGAGCTGGGACCTGACCGTCTTCCCTGGTGTTTCTTTGCTGTGTCCTCCCTCGCCCCACTTTTTGCCTTTGTCCGGCCAGAATTCCCAGCCTTCTCCCCTGGCTGTGGCCCAGAGCCCCAGGCCAGGGAGGTCCTCCTGTCCCCTCAGCCCCGGCAGGGAGGCGGGGAGCTGCCCTTCCAGGCCAGCCCCGGGGTGCTGGCGAGGCCTGCAGGCAACCGAGTGCAGGCTGTGGTCACTGCTGCTTACTCCTTTCGTGGGGGGCCCTCCGGGCTGGGGTCACCTTCAGATGCCCTGGCTACCTCCCCTCCTGCAGCAGGCCCCGGGCCCAGGTCCAGCCACAGACTGGCACAGCCTGTGTTCAGACGGCCGGAGGCGACAGCAGGGACGCTTGTTTCAAACACGCTGGCCTCTGGAGAAGTGCCCTGCGCTGGGCTGCCCGGCTCCTGTGGGCTGAAACACTGGCATCTCCTCGGCCTCGGGGAAAGGCTGAACCCCGCAGCCATTTGTTCTCCTGGAGGACAGTGGCAATTAACCCATTAACTTGCTGCCTCTCCCTGATCTTTTATGAAACCTGGCACACCCAGCTGATTGTTCGTGCCCACCACGTGGGGGATGGATGGCCCTGTGACGCTGCTGGTGGCTGCAGCCCACGGGGCCCAGGGCGACACGTTCCAGCATCTGCCCTCTGGCCCCTCAGTGCCCCTTCAGTGCCGTTTAGCCCCACGCAGCCTCCGGGCACAGCCATGGGGCTCCCCCACCCTGTGGCATCTCCAAGTCATTTCAGAGCCTAACAAAGCCCCACATAAGCAGGTGTTTCTTGGCTTCTACCTAGACAGGGCGATGGTGTCTCGTCGGGACCCTCCAGTCCTGGGTCTGTCTGCTCAGTGGAGGCGCTGGCTTGTCGGTAAAGAAGGTTGTTCCTGTATCAGTTTATTTCTTACAGCCTGTTGCAGGGTCCGGGGAGCTAATACCTTCACATCAGCTTAACCAGGACCCTGACAGGTCCCGCCCATGGGTCGGCCGCGGGGGAGCTGCTGAGCTGAGGCTGGGAAACAGCACGCAACTGGCGGATTCAAATTCAGGTTTCCATGCTTTCCAGAGCGGCCCGTGCCCCACCCAGCCCGCCTTTCCACCACACTGGAGTAGGCGTGAAGGCCCAGGGGCCTCTCAAGTCCGGGCTGCTGAGTGTGACAGGGTGGTGTCCCGGGAGTGCCTGGACATGGAGGCCTCAGCAGATGGCAAAGAAGGACCCACGGCCGGGGAGGCGTTGTGGCGTGGAGGAAAGCGCTGAGCCATGTGGACCTGCGTTCAAACCCTGCCACGTGGCAGGTGAACCCACAGTGGGAACTCCGGTTCCCCGGCACACCCACACCCTGCTCTCCCAGACAGCTCCCCGTCATCATCCAGGACCACCGAGCCCCGCGCAGACACCCGCTCTCTGAAGGCGCTATGGCCGCGCTAAGGCCGTGAGCTTTCTAGCCTCAATCCTGTCACATGCCCTTTGATCTGAGCTAGTTTCTGATGTGATACTTCACGGAAAAATGGAAGAGCACCGGTCACGTCTGTCTCCTACTGACCCCGAGACCCTGGTTTGCTCTGAAGCTGGAATCGCGAGGCCTCTCTGCCAGGCCCTGGCTGGAGGCTCTCTCGAGTCTCCTGACGCCAGAGGAGTGGCTGGCAGAACCCACTCCGAGTCTGCTGAGGCACAGGTGAAGGACGTCAGCGAGGGCCGCCGCAGTCTCAGGGAGCCTCCTGCCGGGATGGAGGAGCAGCTCTCCGGCTTCCTCCCTCCCTCACCTCCAGCGGCAGCCCCGGCACGGGCAGGGTGCCCCCAGGTCAGGAGGCAGCAAAGGCCACCTCTCCTGGCAGGACCGTGGCCAAAGCCGTGACACCAGTGTCTGGTTCTGATGAGGTCCACCGAATTTATGCCACCCACAGGCCAGATCCCCCGTGGTCAAAGCAAGTCACAAGACCCGGTGACTCACAGGAGCCAGGGGATTAGCGGTCTGTGCAGAGCCCCACCTATTCAGCAGTTCAGCTTTGCTTTAGTGCTTTCTAAAGAAGACAAAGCATGGCTTTCAATTTTTGGAAAAGCAGGATCACCCCAAACCACTGGGCCGGTGAAGCCGCCCGCAGCTCTCGAGAGGCCCAGGTGCCAAGCGTCTGCACACAGCGGGACTGGGAGCCTCGCAGGGCAGTTTGGCCGCTGCTCCCAGGGTCCTTCCCGGTTTCGCCTCAGTGAAAGCCAAACACACTCAGAAAGCGCAGAGAGAAAGACGAGAGAGAGGGAGGGCTGGGCATGGGGCTCACGCCTGTCATCCCAGCACTTTGGGAGGCCGAGGCGGGCAGATCACCTGAGGTCGGGAGTTCGAGACCAGCCTGACCAACGTGGTGAAACCCCGTCTCTACTAAAAATACAAAACTAGCTGGACATGGTGGCGGGAGCCTGCGGCAGGAGAGTCGCTTGAACCTGGGAGGCGGAGTTGCAGTGAGCCGAGATCGTGCCAGTGCACTCCAGCCTGGGCGACCAGCAAAACGCTGTCTCAAAAAAAAAAAAAAAAAAAGACGGCAGTGCAGAGAGAAAGCATCGTTCATTCTGTTTCCACAGGAAGCAGCGGTTGTATTTATTCAACTACACAAACAGCCAAGTTGCGAGTCATCCTCCACGATGGCACAGCCAGCCATACAGCCCCACGCAAAGGCATGTGACAGCAGAGAGCAAATCCTAAGAACCTTCTGGAATCAGTCACTGGCACAAGAAAACAGAGTTCTGGAGACCACGGTCTCTCAGTCCAAAGCTTCTAACGGAGATCCACGGTACAGCCCCGCTTCCCCCCAGATAGGCCAGAATTTGTGGTGCCCCCCGGAGCCAGGCAGAGGAGACTGTGGGTGTGTTCAAGTGCACTCAGGCTCAGCCCAGTCTCGCGTGGGGCCCGTGGCTGCACCTGTTCCTACGGCCTTCTCCAGGCATTGTCAAACATTCTGCCCATGGACAGCGCCCAGGAAAGTCAGTGCCCAGCTTCTGTCTATACCCTAAACCTTGTGGAGAAAGAAAAACCACACCACCAGACTCCCACAGTGCCTGAATATGCCCAGGCTCTCCATTTTATCAGAAGAGAGTGCCCCACACCCAGCCCAATTTCTTCTGTTTTCAGGCTTCTAAGAGAACTAACACTACCTTGAAAACAACAAATAAACTAGGGAGGTGGGAGAGGAACACCAGAATGTGAAGAATACCTTTTTCTTGTATGTGCTTTTTATTTTTTTTTGAGGCAGAGTCTTGCTCTGTCGCCCAGGCTGGAGTGCAGCACCGCGATCTTGGCTCACTGCAACCTCCACCTCCCGGGTTCAAGCCATTCCCCTGCCTCAGCCTCCCGAGCAGCTGGGACTATAGGTGCCACCACCACACCCAGCTAACTTTTTGTATTTTAGTAGAGACGGGATTTCACCATGTTGGTCAGGATGGTCTCAGATTCCTGACCTCGTGATCCACCTGCCTCGGCCTCCCAAAGTGCTGGGATTACAGGCGTGAGCCACCGTGCCCGGCCTTTGTTATTTTTAAACAGTATGAAATTCAGAAGCAAACACATATACAAAAAAAAAAATCCATTACATTTATTAAGAATAATCTTAGAGTCTCGTTCTGCTCTTCTACATCAAACGGCGCCCACTGGTCTTGGTACACAGGAGCAGTGTGACTTCCTGAATTACAGAAATATCCACATCCAGCCATGTGCTGAGCAGACCAACGTAAAACGTTCAGCAGGTTTTCCAACGTCTCTCGGATATGTTTAATCGTCTGTGCAGAAGAACTCGAAATCCCAGAGCAGCTCCGCTCCAGATCCAGGGCGGGAGGCCGCGTTTACGAGAATCTGCCTTTTGTGCGTGCCTGGCTGGGACCGGCCTCCGGGAAAGAGAAGCACCAAGACTGAACGGGACTGTGGGCTGACGGCTTTAGCAGCCACATAATCCCTCCTTTGATGTCCAGGGCCAGTCCCCCAGGCTAGGAGGAGGTGAATGAAAGAATCTCGCTGGGATCTTTCCTGCAAAGGAAACAGCAGTAACTGATTACCCAGTCGCCAAGAGGAATTCCTGTGAGCTCACACCTCTGTGTGCCTTTGCTCTCCACTGTCAGAGAGGACTTTAATCACAGGACAAGGAGGAGACCCAGGCCCATCTCACAGTCCCGGGACGGGTCACGGCGAGCCGTGATGCTGGCCTGCTCACACGTGGCCGTTGACATGAGCAGGCTGTACTCGGGCTTCGCGTACACAATAGCTGCTAGGAGCAGTTCCCATTTCAGACCCGCACCCACTCTAACTGCTCTCTCAGAGTCTCAGCTCACCTTGCGGTGGGAGAGCTGGGCCCTGCCTCTCTTACACACGGGGGCAAACGCTCCCCTGCAGGCACTGTGTCCCACCTTCAGGCCTGGGAGCTCTTAACTTCCTGCCAGCAGGGTGTTCTGAGTCTGCAAACCCCCATGCCGCAGGAGCACATACGATGACTGGCACCGTGCTGCCGCCGGGCCAGGGAGGACGCAGCCTGTCGGCCTCGAGTGGGAGCCCCAGCTCTCCTGAGCCTCGGGCACTTACAGACACGAAGGCTTTTTGCTCAAGGGCTCGACTCCTGTTCCTGCTGAACTGAGCCAGTGTGTAAAATGAGAACTGATATCAGCTCAGTAGGCACCGGAGGGCGGGTCCAATCGACAGCCCGGAGAAGCAGCGCCTCAGCTGGGAGCTCCGTGGGCACCGTCTGCTGGCGCAGGAGATGCGGAGGCCTGGACTGTAAATACAAGAGAGAGTTCACCGCGCCCAGAACAGGAGCTCCTCCGAAAGCCCCACCCGCCCCGCTCACAGCATGAACCACCACGTGGTTTCACTCGACTGATGGGGATGCATTTGGTTTCAGTTTTTTGTAAGAATAATTTTTGCAACTTTCAATACATTTGACCTTTCAGACAGATGTCCGATTGGTGGATGTTTCTGTGGACAGACTTAAGGACTGAGTGCGCAGCTAGCACTCCCGGCAGGAGATAGTGCGTCCTTCGGGCCAAGTGGTCTCTCATCCTCCAGGATCGCGCTCTGCACCCACGTGACTGTGCAGCAGCGGCCGCCCGTCAGCAACAGCCTCTGCCCCAGCGGCTCCAGCTTAACTGTCCCCATCTCACCTTCTCCTCAGGTGCAGAACTTAGCCACTGTGAACAAAGCGGAAACCAATCACTGTTCACCAATCGGCTAAGCTCTGCACCTTGTCAGAGAGGTCGTCGCTGGGCATAAAGAAAGGCATGGTGACCGGTGAGCATCTTCCTCAGCTGGTGGCTTCTTTTGTTTCCAAAGAAGATTTACGAGATGCACCTGTCCTCCAATCGGCAGCGAGTGCGACCACGACTTCTGGAGCAGCAGCCAAGGTCGTGGTTGCGTGGTAATCCCTGGCAATGTGATTTTAATCTTAAGTCACAAATCAGCATGCCAGGAACCCAAGCAGCCAGAGCACCTGAGAGCAGCGCCGCCCCGTACCCCCGTCTGCGCGCACCGGGTTTCCGCGGAAGGACGCCGGCGACACTGCCGCCTTCACGCCTGTTACACAGGCAAACAGGTGGAGTTTCTGTTTGCTGTTCATTTAGTTGGCATCCTAAATGAGGTATAATTTTTTGAATCAAAGGGACTCGAGATGACCATAAAAATGCCAGTGCAGCTTTGGAACTGACGAAAAATGCAGGGACCAAGCACGTGACACACAGAATTGCTAAAGGCAGCTGTCCTTGCTGCCTTTACTGCCTCTAACCCTGGGGACGAGACCCCTTCTCTCCAGGCAGATTCTAGCTGCCCTGGGAAGCCTCTGGGGACTCTCAGGCCAGGAGTCCGCTTGCTGGAGGGGGCCCTGGGAGCAACCCTGGCCACTGTGCCTCACAGGAACTGGCTGGGAGGGAGGCTGGCAACCCCGGGATTCATCTGGAGTGGGGGGCGGAACAGGAACAAAGATGTCGGGGAGGGGGAAAGGGGAGACTCGTGACCAAGATGACTCCTTTGCCTGCTTGGGCAAAAAATCCCCATAAAGAGCGGCAAAGGGTGTGCCCCGCGGTGCTGCCCCAACCGGCGGGAAGGGCGACAGGACTAGCTGGCCTTGTAGCTTCACACACTTTCACACAAACGCCACGAAATAACAAAACGAAAGAGAAACACTGCTTCTACTGATTACTACAGGAGGCCGGCAGTGAGGTAAGTGCGCAGTCTGTGCCGCCAGCCCGTCCTGGAGGGGAGCCAGGTCATGTCTGCCGCAGGCGTTTCGCTACGCGACACTCAGTAGTTCGTTCCCCGTTTCCCTTTCCTGGCACACGTGGTTCCTGACTCTCCTGGAATATGATCATGCTTCGGAAAAACTTTTTATTTCTTTTCATTATTAGAGTTCTTTCAGATAAATAAGCTACTTAAACACATTACACAGAAATGGTTTTCATAAGCACAAAACATGAGAAGCAAACTTGATGTTCAAAACTGAGCGAAGAATATCAACACCAAATGTTCAATGTCCATGAAAAATTACAGAGAAGCTATAACATGAAAAATGCTTCAGATTTGATAAAAGTTTTTTTTAAAGATACAAAATTAGACATCCCCTATTAATACCATATAAAACATTGAAGCAAAACGGAGCAGACACAGAAATGATAATGACTGTTAGAGACAAAAAAAATCCCACAGTTGTCCTGCAAAACTTCATGTACCACTGCGAGGTTGCTTTAATAGTGTAGAAACCCATACTGAGCAACACTGCTAGGAAGTAAATCTAACAGGTTAATTCCAGACACAATTAACAGAGAAAGTGATTTAAATAATCCAGAACTCACTCCAATATAAGCCACGGTAGAAATTCCGCTCCAACACAACAAAGCAAAAAGTAGGACTTGCTCTCAAGACACAGGTCATGGAGTGCATATGCCGTGTGTGGTGTGTGTGCTGTGTGGTGTGTGTGCTGCGTGTGCCACGGCTGCTCTGTGTGGTGTGTGCCTGTGTGTGGTGTGTGTGCTGCGTGTGCCACGGCTGCTCTGTGTGGTGTGTGTGCTGTGTGGTGTGTGTGCTGCGTGTGCCACGGCTGCTCTGTGTGCTGCGTGTGGTGTGTGTGCTGTGTGTGCCGCGGCTGCTCTGTGTGGTGCGTGCCTGTGTGTGGTGTGTGTGCTGCGTGTGCCGCGGCTGCTGTGTGTGGTGTGTGTGCTGTGTGGTGTGTGCCTGTGTGGGGTGTGTGTGCTGCGTGTGCCGCGGCTGCTGTGTGTGGTGTGTGCTGTGTGTGGTGTGTGTGCTGTGTGGTGTGTGTGCTGTGTGGTGTGTGTGCTGTGTGGTGCGTGTGCTGTGTGTGTCTGTGCCTGGAGAGCCTCCCACCAGCCCAGGACCAGGCGTGGACAGCCCAAGGAGCCTCCAGTTCACACATGGCTAGAAGAAAACATCTGCCCGCAGAAGCTGGGCTTTGGAGTCACACGGCCGCGTGAACGCCCGTGTGGGCCGTGACCGTGAAGACTGGACCAGCGCTTCCGCGAGGCTTCCCATTCCATCTCCAAACCTACTCAAGACGTTCCCCCACAATGTTTGTTCCCACAGATTTTAAAACCTGAAGTGGCCAAAATAGGGCCAAGGAGCGCCACCGTGCCTCCAGGTGGACAGCCTCTGCCTCCCGGTGACCGCCCCAGTCAGACGAGGTGCTCCGGGGACCCTGGGCTCCCGCACCAGCCCAGCACCCACTTGGCCAGTTACTCTCCAGGCCCCCGGCCAGGGAGTCAACTACTGATGCTGGGGTGGTCCTGGCTAACTGTTCGGCTGATTTATTTAGCTGGCTCCTAAGGGAGTATCTGGTTAGAACTAAATGACAGAAAAAGAAAGGGAGAGAATCACCTCATTAAAATAACATGTCGGCCACCACCTGGGCTGAGGACCTATCCATCTGCTCCCTGGTCCGCTCGAAGCACCTGCGCGCGAGCTGCTGCTGTCTGGCGTCCTCACTCACCATCAGCTCCCCATAGAGGTACACGCCCATGGCCTGCAGGGCACAGAGGCCAGAGGGCATCAGGCGAAGGCGTGGGCACCCACACACATACACACACACATGACCTCCTCAGTCTGTGCTTGTTCCACACACACTTGCTGGTCTAGAAACTGTGAAGACCCCAGAGAAGACAGAGACTGTGGGGTGACTGTGCTTTCGGAAGCTGCAGTCTGCAATCCCTGTCTCCTCCTTGTTCTCAAAACCCCAAGGAATCCTCAGCTCCCAATTCTCTCCACAGACTGACGATTTCGCTGGTGACAGAACGATGAGCCAGCATTCCCACCATGATGGCCGTGTCAGGAACGCTCTGCACAGAGACAGAGATGGTTCCAGAATCACCACGGGGAAGGCCTGTGTGGCATGACAGAGATGTGGGACTCCTGCCCCACAAAGTGTGTCCCTAGGAGTAGCTGGTCTGAGTTCACCGAGCAAGTCCCTCACCTGCCAGGGAACAAGAGCACAGCAGGCAGCAGCCACAGCAGACACATCACGAGGCCTGCAGAGACCCACCCCGCCCGCGCCGTCCTCCCCAGCCCCGCACCGCAGCCCGCACCGACTCTGCTGCTTGGGAACGATGCTGCAAACACACCCTATTTTTAAAACAGCGAAGGACGTTCTGGAAGACCCAAGGACCTCTCTGGATCTGCCCACCCCCTCATGCCAGGCTTAGCTATGCCATGAGTCACATTCCGACTAAACGAAGGGCCTCAAAGACAGAGGTAAAGAGCTAAACTCCGCAGTGAAGGGGTTCAAAAGCGCTGACCTACAAAAGCCCAGACATGGTGATCCTTATTTGTCAAAGATCAGGATTCTAAATATACTGCAGTGATTTCTGGTCTTTGGAATGGACCTTAAAGTTGCTCTTAAATTCTGTGCTTATACTCCCGGTATGTTTTTCCAGACACCTCTTGCTCTACTGTGCAAATGTGACATTTCTTCTGGTACAAAGGCATGTACTTTCCTTTGTGGGAATAATGAGGCCTCAGGCCTCACTGGCTGGCTGTCCCCACACTGAGACCCTATCAAAAGTCCTTTTGTTTGCCTCACTCCCACTCTCCACCCCAGCTGGAAGGCAGCTCCACGCTGTCACCCACAGCGCTTGGCAGGCCACTCACTCGGAGGTGGAGGGAGTGGAGAGCGGGGAAACGGGGTGGGTGTGGCGTGTTACAGGACACACCTGTTGGTGACCTGACAAACTGCGGACACCAGAGGCAGCCGATGAGGGTCTCCCCAGATCCGCTCCCGCACACGCACTGCCTGTGAGCTCCTAGGAAGGGGACGGCTGTCCACGGTGAACAGTGAGAAAAGCTCCCACAGGGAGGAAACCTGCCTAGCACAGCACAGCAGGTGCAGGTACAGACCGACTGTCCCGTCAGGGTTCTCCCAGTCTGACTTGCACGTGTACTTTCAATGAGGGCCACTGATCAGCGATCTAACGCACGGCATCACCAAGCGACAAGCATGGCCTAGCAGGTGCTGGAGACGCCGTCAAGTGTGAGCACGCAGCATCAGATGACATGCGGGCCACACGGCAGCACTGAAGGTGCCCAACTCAATCCTTCAAAGACACTGACAGAGGAAAAAAGCAGCTCAGAAGTATCAGTGTTAGGTAAGATCCTACCAGTCCTTAAGAATCTCTGGGACAGATTTATGTATTTGTTATGAAAGAGATACTGAACGTGGGTTCCTGTGTGAAGTGCAGGGGCAGCCTTTACGGAACCCCATCCGCTGCAGGATGACACCTACCTGATCCTCCTGAAGGAACCGCTCCACACTTTCGTAGGCTTTTGTGAACTTGTGCTTAACAATGAGTTCACACCACCGATGGCGAACCTGGAGGAACGAGAGAGCGCCCAGTGAGAAACATGCGGGCACCCAGCCCCCGGGCCCAGCGACCGGCAGCCTCTGGATTCCAGAAAGCTGTGCTCTCAAATGGACCGGCATTGTTGACACACTTAGTTTTACATTTTCTTTTAGGTTTTTTTTTTTTCACTTTTTATTTTCTTTGAGAAAGAGACTTGCTCTGTCACCCAGGCTGGAGTGTAATGGCACGATCTGGTTCACTGCAACCTCCGCCTCCTGGGTCCAAGCAATTCTCCTGCCTCAGCCTCCCGAGTAGCTGGGATTACAGGCGCCTGCCATCATACCCAGCTAAATTTTGTAGACGGGGTTTCACTATGTTGGCCAGGCTGGTCTCGATCTCCTGACCTCGTGAGCCACCTGCCCCAGCCTCCCAAAGTGCTGGGATTACAGGCATGAGCCACTGCGCATGGTCAGTTTACTCTTTAAAGAAAGAAACCACAGTGCTAATTAGGGCGGCCAGTCAACTTCAGAGGGAAAAGCAGGTGTTTCACTGTTGTAAACATGATTTTGCAAGATGACAGATACTAAACGAAGGTGTAACGAGGAAATTCCACACACACGTGAGAGTCAGCGCTCCCTTTCAAACCACCACTCCCTAAGCTCCCGCAGCAGAACTGGCTCAGTGCTGCTCATCTGTGACAGACACAGCAAGAGGCAGAGACGCTGCTCTCGCGTTCCCCGGAAGCGGCAGCGCCCCCTTCTCAGAGTCTGGGGAAGGAGTGAGCCCAGGACACCCCGAGGTGGGTAGCTCCTGCTGCGTATCCACATGCGTGCAGGTCCGCACAATGTACTGGAAACAGACGAGCTCAAGGTGGATGCCGTTCTTTTAAAAGATAGATGTCATCAGAAGCTCACCTGCAGGAATTCGGAGGGAACTCCCACTCCCACCCTCTTCGAACCTCCAGACACAGTGGGAGAGTCCGATGCCAGCCCCGGCCGCCCTCTGGACACAGGCACAGCCCCCCACACAAGGTACTCCCCGCATCCCGGCGCAGGCGGCATCTCTCGGTGCTGCAGGTTCCTTCTCTACAAGAAGATTCACCGACAATGTGTTTTCCAGAACCCAGTCCGCTGCCTTTTTCTACTGCATCAAAGCCCTCTCAGTTACACCAAGTCGACCATTTCACACTCCATTACCGAACCGACATCGCCATACGTGGAAGTGATTACGTGTATTTTAGAGGAGCCTCCTTCTACCACGGCTTGTTTTTACTGACGGTGAAAGCGGGAGATACTCTACAGTGACATATTTGCGGCAATAATAAAATGTAAGCAATGTCAACATTTTGGCGACGGTCCCTGTAAAGGATATCACCATCCACTGACCTAGCCGGCTCTCTCCTTTAATCTACTCTAAAGAGGTTCACATGCAAACAGTTAAGACTGAAGGAGAGAAACCAATCTTTCGGAAGGAATCCTTCCCCCAAGCCACAGTGCCCTCTGCGACAGTGTTAACTCGGGAATTCTGCCGGGCGGCCCTGGGCTTGGAGGCAGCCAGGCCCTCTGAAGCACTGAAGTGGCCTCTGGGAGGGGCTGACAGCCTCTGCCCTCAGAGCAAACGGGAAGGAGGCTGGGGCGGCAAAATCTTTCCACCTTCAACAAAATGTGCTTCCTGTACAGCCAACAGAAATAAACAGCAGACTATGCGAGGAGGAGCCCTCCACTTCCCCAACAGCAGGAACAAGTGACCAGAGCTCACCATCACATGCCAGAGGCGGCCACTAGAAGAAACCGCGCCCAGCTGTGGACAACCCAAACTGTCCCTTGGACGCCTCCATCCCTCATCTCTCTTCCAACTCAGCCACCTAAATGTGCCATCTGCCAGGTCCACACGCCAGCAGAGGTGCCATCTGCTCTGAGCTTTGTGAGGACGGGCACCAGCTCCCCGAGGTGGAAGGGGCTTTCGGGCAAGCCGGTCTGATCTGGAGGGATGGCCGCACACGGATGGGAGGGACAGCTGAGGACAGGAGCTGCTGCTCTGAGACTTAGGGAGGCAGCCTCATTTTCTTAACGGCACAAGAGAAACCCTACTTGTGGCAGCTTTTAGGGAGGGTCCCTTAGGTGAGACCTGTCGGCTTCTAAATATTCTTGAAGTGTTCTAACCACCGATGCTTGTCTGATCTGGCCACACCACACGACCGCGGTCATTCTAAAGCTTGGAGGACGTGTATAAATGTGATTGTGAGAACAGAGGGTTTCGCCTCTCCTTTTCTTTCTGTGCTTTCCTTCGTATTATTTACACACACAGAAACAACAAAGCATAAACTGGGGCTTATTTCCTAGTAGAACAAGGCCCTCGGTGGGGGCGGGGGGCAGGAGGCAGCGCAGCCCACAGCTGGTGCAGGTCCAGGAGATGGCGGGTGAAAGACGCGCTTTCATTGCGAATCTGAAGTCAGTATTTCCACTTTTCTTACTGTTAGAAATAGTTTGTTGTCAAGATTAGTAAGAGACCCAGGCTTGTGACCCCTGGAGGCTAACAGCAACCAGCAAGGACAGACCAAGCCCAGTCTCCCACCCCCACTCCCTTTCCCACCCCACGAAGAGAAGATACAAACAACAAGTCTTTTCATTACAAAGAGCTGAGTGTATGTCAATATTTCGGCGACAGGATGCTGAGAAGACATTGCAGAAATGCTGAGGAGGCCGGGCTGGCCAGATAGCTCCTGCTCACACGCAGTCTTCACTTCTCTTCGTTCCTTTGAGAAACAAAGAAAATCCTTATTTTTCTCCCCCAAACTCTCAAGGACCCACAATTCTCATGCCATTCGTCACCACGGGGAGTGGGGATGACATCAGTCTCACTGAAGCCCGGCAGTATCTCCGAAGGAGCCCTGGCAGAATATCCGTCTCCAGACCACCGAGGGGCTTCATGGTCGTGAAAGATGCTCCGCCTCCTACAGCAAGCTCCTCGCAGTGAGAGGGCAGGAAAGCCCCACGGCCAGGGAGCTGGGGCCAGAGCTCCACAGCGTGCCCACCAGAGGACAGCTGTGCAGTCTAGAGGTCTGCTCTTATTTCTTAATTTATTAACGAGGTTGGTCAACGGGTCTGTGATGTCCTCAGTCAGAATAAAAACAAACAGAACCCTGCATGCTCCCAGGACAGTGCCTGGCACCAGCGGGCACCCCTCACTGTCTCTTCCGGTCCCCAGCCTCCCCACAGCACCTGGCGGGGAGACCGGCCTCCCTGTGGACCCAAGCAGTTGTCTTCTCTGCACCGTTAGGAAGGAGTTTGCTTTTCAGGGGTGAAAGCCACACTCCCTGGCTGCCTCTCTGCTCCCACCCTGTCTGGGAGCCGGGGGAGTGCTGGAGGCTGGCCCAGGCTCCCCCAGAGCCACAGCACTGTGCCATCCCGGGCCTAGCAGATGCTGGCAGGAGGAGCGCATGACCCGGGCTCCTGGGGAGAGCCAGCTGTGGCCGCCTGCCAGGAACGACACACAGGGCCATCTGCAGGTGAGCAGCTGTGAGGGTCAGAGGGACCTGCTAAGAAAGAGTGTCCCCTCCCCCACTCCTCCCCAGGCCTGGAAGGCAGCAGGAGAACCCGATCAGACCCTTCCCCAGCCACAGGCTACCCCAAGCCTAGACTGCACTGGAGATCTGAACTTTAAATGTGAAATTAGGGTAAGGGCTTGGCTCCCTAGGAGACGGGACAAAGTGCAGCTGGGGACAGGGATGGGGGAAAATGTAACTTTCATTTTAGACCCAACCAAATAGACACCGATCAGCAAATGAATCACACCCCAAAACAAGTCAGTTTCTATTTCCCAGCTTTTTAGAATTCTTTTTTCTGATTAATGTACAAGATACCGTAAGGCCTTCCCCTCATCCCTATCCCCAGGGACTGTCTTCAGTCCCTACTGTGGAGGTGGCCACTATGCCAACGTGTTTTACACACAATGTGTTTTTCCTTTTCCTTCTAACAAAGATAACTTCACGGATTGCATTCCTCTGTACCCTGATAAAAATATAGATTTACTTTACACAATTACACTGATATTTAATAGAATACCTTGACTTACAATTCTCGTGAGTGCAGGCAGACTTCCCATTCCCTGTATTAATGGTTGCAGGGCAGTCTATGATACTCCAAATATTTCTATGATTAGCGAGACCCTGACAGACAGACACTGTTCACATCCTAACAGGAAAGACAAACCGCTTCTGATGCAATGTAACATGAGGTGCGGTCACCCCGTGCCCCGAGGGTACCTGTGTGCTACTCCCCCAGATGTGGCGTGTCCGGATCAGGTGAGAGACTCCTGAATTGCCTTCCATGAGGGTGTAGCAATTTACACTCCTGCCAAAATCGATGTGAGACCCCACTTTCCTGTACCATCACCATTACTGAATCATCAAACTTTTGATAAGTGAAAAATGGTGTCCATGAGGTCCTTCATTTTTTAATTGAGAGAGAACTTGAGAAAGGGACTAATTAGAAAGGTAGGGACAGTATTATGGACATCAGCCAGGTACGGTGAAGTACCAGAGACCATGGAAGCGGCAGCTACCCACTGGCCTGAAGAGATGGGAGGCTGTTTCTGGAACAGAGAGAGCTAGAGCGTGGGAGGGGCTGCCAGCCTGCAGGAGGAACGAGGGAGCCCCCATTCCCGTCGGGCAGCTTAGGCATTCTATTACCAGTTGAGTATGGCTGCTTTCTTTTCTTTTTTTTGTTTGTTTGAGGTAGGGCCTTGTTCTGTCATCCAGGTTGCAGTGGCTCACCGCAGACTCCACCTCCCAGGCTCAAGCGATCCTTTAGCCTCAGCCTCCCAAGTAGCTAGGACTACAGGCACGTACCACCACACCCAGCTAATTTTTTTTAAAATTACTTTTTGCAGCAATGGGGTCTCTTTGCCCAGGTTGGTCTCAAACTCCTGGGCTCAAGCCATCCTCCCAAAGTGCTGGGATTATAGTCGTGAGCCACCACGCCCCAGCAGTTTTTTCATGCGCATAAAATCCTTTCTAGTAACTGTCTAT